CTAAAAAAGTGTTTTAATTATCTAGGTGTAGTGGCACACACCTATAGTCCCAGCTACACGGGAGGCTGCGGCAAGAGGATCGCTTGAGCCCGGGAGTTCAAGGCTGCAGTGAGCTATGATCACTCCACTGTACTCCGGCCTGGGAGACAGAGTGAGGTCCTGTCCTGAAAGAAACAAAAATAAAGGAAAGTGGGCATCTGAGCCCTCGTTTGAAGGAAAGCCTCCGGAATGGATTCAGAAATCCTCATGAGGGACCCAGAATTCCCTGCTTTGGAGCCAGCCAGACCAGGATGAACTAAAAGTGACTTAACACTTATTGTCTGCCAGACACTGTGCCAACCACTTTACACGTATTAACTAATTGATCCTGATGCCAATCCTACAAACTAGGTCCTACTTTTATTATCCTTTTACAGGTGAGAAAACTGAGGCACAGAGTGAGCATCTAAGCTGCCCAAGAGCATACATCTAGCCAGGGACAGAGTTAGGATTTGTACCAGCTGGTTTGGTGCTCAAGCCTTCCATCATCATAACACCTTGGAGAGGTGAGTATTATTATCCCTATTTTTTATAGATAAGGAGATTTTGATAAACGTTAAGAGATGCCACATTTTGCCAGTTGACTGGCATTCAGGCTGCACCTGTCACAGCTTTCTTCGTGGCACTGGGTGTTCGGCATAGAATATAAAAATGCTTTCCTATCACCATCAAGATCACGAACTGGTAAAGAAGAGCCAGTATTTCCATCCTGCTCTGTCTGGCTCCAAAGCAGGGAATTCTGGGTCATTCATGAGAATTTTCTGAATCCATTCCAGAGGGTTTCATTCAGATGAGTGTTCAGATGCTCACTTTCTTTTTTTAAATTTTCTTTCTTTCGGGACAGTATATCACTCTGTCTCCCAGGCTGGAGTGCAGTGGAGTGATCACAGCTCACTGCAGCCTTGAGCTCCTGGGCTCAAGCAATCCTCTTGCCTCAGCTTTCCATGTAGCTGGGACTATAGGTGTGTGCCACTATATCCAGATAATTAAAACATTTTTGTAGAGATGGGGTGTCACTATGATGCCCAGGCTGACTTTATTTATTTATTTAGAGACAGGATCTCACTTCATCACCCAGGCTGGAGTGCAGTGCTGTAATCATAGCTCACTTAGCCTTGATCTCTCCAGCTCAAGTGATCCTCCTGCCTCACCCTCCCTAATAGCTGGGACTACAGGCACTCACCACCATGCCCAGCTAATTTTTACTTTTACTTTTTATTTTTAGAGAGATGAGGTCTTGCTGTGTTGCCCAGGTTGGTCTTGAACTCCTGAACTCAAGCAATCCTCCCACCTTGGCCTCCCAAAGTGTTGGGATTACAGGCATGAGCCACCATGCCTGGCCTATTTATTTGTTATTTTTTTTTTTTAAATTGAGATTGCAGGAAACAATTTTTTAATTTAATTTTTAAAACAGAGATTGCAGGAAACAAATATGCTCATTTTTCAAGGTCCTTCTCTGGCTTCCTCTGGAGGTTGGAGATCAGGGCTGGGAGGTCTGCGCCTGGCCAGGTCACATGTCTGTCAATGCCCCTGTATCTTTACCACTGCAGCCAGGACCCAGTGTCTCACTGACACTACTTCCTGCTCCTCTCATCCTAGACCATGTTTGGTTTCCAGAATTCTCACAGTTGGGCATGTTTTGGTTGCTAGTAACAGAAAAGTCAACCTGAACTGGTCTTAACAATAAAGAGAATTTATTGGCTTTTGGAACTGAACAAAGTACAGAGAGAAGATGGCCTCTGGGCATGATTTGTTCAGGACTCCGGGTCTGTTTCTCTGATTCTCTCAGCTGTGCCTTCTTCTGTGTGTTGGTTTCTTCCTTGGACTGTTTTTGCCATTTATGGTAGCAAAATGGCTGCTGTCTGCAACAAGACTATATACTTGCTTTTCTGCATTCGTTGAGCAAACATCTGACCTTTGCTCTGACCGGATCATCTCAGGTCACAGACTTACTCCCTGAGCCTGTTGCTGTAGTTATGAGGATGTCACTGGAGAGAGAGGAGAAACCTCCTTCTACCCTTTTCCTCCACTTTGATCCCAGATCCAAGTGGATTCTTCTGGAGGAATGAGAAGAGATGCTTAAGCTGACATAAGGCTGATTCAGGGACAAAACAGATGTTCTTACAGCCCTATTGTGCTGTTCATATGGTCTGTGTAGAAGCCACCATGTTTGAAACAGAGTGGTAAGAAGATGTCACCCAAAGAGATGTCACATTTTGCCAGTTGACTGGCATTTGGGCTGCACCTGTCACAGCTTTCTTTGTGGCATTGGGAGTTCTATATGGAATGGAAAAATGTTTTCTCAGCAGGAGCATTCTAGGCCATTTTAAGAGGGCACAGTTATAAGTGGGAAGTGAGGTATAGAAGATAGTTCGGGTGGGCTGACTCGCTGGAGCATTTTAAAGTGGGTAAAATTTTATTCTAAACTCATCTATATGTGCTTTCTCCCTCCTTCAGTAAAATGCTCATCCTACTGCGAAGTGAAAGGTTTCCACCCTTGTCCTCCAGATGCAACTTCTCCTGGAGAAACCCGCATCGCTGTTGCCCCCACCACACTCATGCAGCAGGGCTGCTTCCCCTTCACTCCTCCGGCTCCAGGAGACCAGACCTTTCCCTAACCCCTCAGTGATTCCTTGAAATACACTGGAATGGTGAACCGACTTACTGAGGGTTTAGGAAAAGCAGAAGGGAATTATACACCAAGAAGAACTTCACACCGGGTATTAAATATACCTGCTCTTGGCTGGCCCTGTTCTTTCTCAAGGGGGTGTCTCGCAGGGGATTCCCTGTCCAGCGACTGCTGCCCCCTTGTGGCAAAAACTATCCTTCTCCTGGCCTCAGGGTCATAATAGGCAGGTGTTTTGCAATCCAGGCCCCCGTCTTTTTTCTCCTGTGTCCCCAGTGACTATTTTCTGCCCTCGGGGCTGCTTTTACCCTAGATGATTAATAGAGGGAGTCTCCCACCTCCTGGGACTACCCCATCTTTGACTCCTTTCTAGTCTAGGCATCAGAGCACAATAGTCCAACATCAGTAAAAGCAAAGCGTGAGTGGCTATTGTCTCCTTGCACTTCCTGTTACCATTTATGAATGATAAAAGAGCCCAGGAGGAGAGCACGACTTAGCTTAAAATAGGCTTGCCGCCTGGGCATGGTGGCTTATGCCTGTAATCCTAGTGCTTTGGGAGGCAAAGGCGGGAGGATCACTAGAGGCTAGGAGTTCAAGATAAGCCTGGGCAGTATATCAGGACCCTTTCTCTACAAATAAATAAATAAATAATAAAAATAAAAATAAAATATATAAAAAAAGAAAGCCAGATGTAGTGGCTCTTGCTGTTAGCCCCAGCTATTCAGGAGTTTGAGGTAGGAGGATTACTTGAGTCCAGGCATTTGAGGTTATACCGAGCTATGATTACACCACTGCACTCAGCCTCGGCAACAAAGTGAGAGCCTGTCTCTTAAAAAAGGAAAAAATGGGCCAGGTGCAGTGGCTCACACCTGTAATCCCAGCACTTTGGGAGGCCAAGGCGGGCGGATCATGAGGTCAGGAGATCGAGACCATCCTGGCTAACACGGTGAAACCCCATTTCTACTAAAAATACAAAAAAATTAGCCAGGCGTGGTGGCGGGCGCCTGTAGTTCCAGTTACTTGGGAGGCTGAGGCAGGAGAATGGCGTGAACCTGGAAGACGGAGCTTGCAGTGAGCCGAGATCCCGTCATTGAACTCCAACCTGGGAGACAGAGCAAGACTCCGTCTCAAAAAAAAAAAAAAAAAAGAAAAATTGTCTTTCCAGTGCAGAGCTGTAGGAATCCATGGCATGATAAATTTGGCATTTGTGGTAGGGCAGGATTTATATTTGCACAGACTGGCACTAGCTCCAAACATTAGAGGAAGGTTGGGAAGAAGCAATGCCAGGCAGACCAGCTGGGCTGTATGGAAGTGAAACTATCAGGCATACCAGTGACTTTAGTGTGTAGCCAAAAGCAATAGACGCTGAGTCGTGGTGGTGACGTATGGTCCATGAATCACAGGCGCAATGTCTCTCTTCATTTATTCTACAACCATTGATTGAGCACCTACTATATTCCCTGAAAGAGAACATAAAAATGAACCGAAGAGGGTTCTTGCTGTCTCATGGCTCCCAAGCTAGAAGAGGGGTGACTTGCAAATGCCTCACAGTTGGGTTCATGTTATATGGAGAAGTGACGAAGGTGCCAGAAGACTCAAGCTAGAGGACAGCTATTAGCTGCTGGAGGCAGCTAAGGTGGGTTCCAGAGACCCTGTTCTCCATTACTGAGATAGGGGCAGCAGTGACCTTGACCCCAGCTCTTCCATTCGTGGACTGCCCCAGCTCTGTGGTCTCTCTGCGAACCAGCCAGCCTCTGGGAGTGGCCTATGCCCTCAGCCTCAGAGCCATTTCAATCAACTGGTCATTGTCAGTGGTTGTGCAAAAGAGTGGCTGGCGGCAAAGGAGGGTTCGTGTTCCCTTCAAATCCCCACCAGGCCACCTCAAAGAAGGCTGCAAAATAAATAAAGATTGAGGGCCTGCTGTTCAAACACAACTCAAGTGCAGTCCTCCTGCTCTTTCCCATCGAATTGCCCTCAAGTCCCTCCTACAGGGGACTCCTTCTGGAGTCTCTGCTGTAAGTCAAATCCTTCCCCCTTTCTTCTTGTCAGGCAAGTTGCAAGCTTCTACAGGTGATCTACCAGGGAATTTAGGAATAAACAAATGGAAATAAATCCAAGAAAAGGAAAAGAATAAAAACGATCATCCATAAAGTGGAGAACTCAGATAATGGATCCTCAACCCCAGCTTCACACCTGGGACCCCTGCTTGGTCATATGGACCCTGGCAGTCTAATCATGAGTCTGCGATCCCTTGACTTAAACTGTTCTTCCCCAAATGTAGACATGGGTGGGGCTCAGAAGGGAGGTGTCGTCTGACGTGGTTTCCTTATTTTCCTTTATTCATCAAGGGCCCTCTAGCTGTTAAGTCACTCTGATCTCTGACTGCAGCTCCTACCTTTGGACACACCTGGCTGGTGCCTCAGGTAGGAAGTCGCCTCCGCTTGCTAGGACTTTCTGTGGGGTAGGGCTGCTCGGCTTGACTTTATTTTGGAAAATGTGTTCATTTCTGTGGGAGCTGGGGATTTCTGCTGCCCGCTTCCTCTCTTGCGACCACCACTCATACATAGAGGTAGCAGGTGAGGAGGACAGCCTCCTTGTCCTCTCTTTTTATACCTCACCCTTTTGTGGAAAGAGGCTGAGAATTCCCCAATTTGGTGTTTATTGCTTCACCTTAAGACTTTGCCTTTGGTGAAGATGCAAATACTGGTAGGGAGGGAACATACTAAAATGTGTGGATCTCAGTGGACTCATCATACACCCTCAGGCCTGGCAGCAAATGAGAAGTGGACGACTCTGTCTTCTTCGATTTGCAGATGAGAAGACTGAAATCTATAGGGATACGAGACTCCATTGAAGGTCATGAGACTTATTTATTTACTTATTTTTTTGAGACGGAGTCTCGCTCTGTTGCCCAGGCTATAGTGTAATGGCACGATCTTGGCTCACTGCAACCTCCATCTCCCAGGTTCAAGTGATTCTCCTGCCTCAGCCTCCTGAGTAGTTGGGATTACAGGTGCAAGATACCACACCCAGCTAATTTTTTTTTGTATTTTTAGTGGAGACGGGGTTTCATCATGTTGGTCAGGCTGGTCTCGAACTCCTGACTTTATGATCCACCTACCTCGGCCTCCCAAAGTGCTGGGATTACACATGAGACTTATTAATAGTAGACTCAGGATAGAATGAAGACTGGACGCTAGGTGACTTTCCAACCAACCTAGGTGACTTGCCAAAGGTTTTCAGACGGTTCTCTGGAGAGCCCTGGAGCTTCAAGGGGCTCTTTAGGGGCCATCTGGGTTGGGAGGTTAGCACACTCTGCCCCACAGTGGCTTAGCTTTTATCTGTTTCACATACTGGGCTTCTGGCAAGATCTTATTTCAGCAAAATATTTCACAATAGGAAATACATTTGAAAACTCTTGAACAATTTTGTGAATTTTGTCAGGGGTGAAGGGTTTCAGGGACCAAGAAGGAGACTTTGTCTTCTCAAATACTTAAAACTCCTTTAGACAGAGGAACAAAATGTATGCTGCTCATTTAAAGACAAGGCTTAAAATATACAGTTTAATGCAACGTGTTGTTATCACTTGCTTCCCCCAGTGGATTTTAAGGAGGGAAAACAAGAATCAGGGAGAATATAGGAAAGGAAATAGTAGAAGGGGCCACCTGGAAACAGGTTTGCCTTCTTGCATTTTGCTTAATGCTGGCCCTTCCCTGAATGTCTAAGACCAACCTGGTTCCCACATCTGAATGCACAGACACAGCTGAGGATGGAGAAGGCTAAAGAGGGACAGAGGTAGAGACATAGGCTGAGAGGAGGAAGTTGTAGGTTGAGCTAGGGCTAAGGCATTTTCCCCATATTCCCCATATTACCCCATACTCAGGCCAGGCCTTGGAATTGTGGAAGGTGGAGAACACTGGGAAGCCAACCTCCAAAGAACCCCAGGTCGGAGGCAAAGGAGGAAGGGGGGCTGTCGTTGCCAGAAAAACAGGGAAGCAAAGGATATCCCAGTAACTGCTCTCTCATCCTTTACGGCAATGCCTTGAATCCAAGCTACTAAATCACATTTCCTTCCTTCTAACCTTCCAGCTAGATCAAACCATTGCTGAAACTGAAGAGAACATGTCGAATGCTATAGATCCACAGATGTGGGATGATGACTGTGATCTAAATTTCACTGGCATGCCACCTATGGATGAAGATTATAGCCCCTGTAGGCTAGAGACTGAGTCACTCAACAAGTATGTTGTGATTGTCACCTATGCCCTAGTGTTCCTGCTGAGCCTGCTGGGAAATTCTCTCGTGATGCTGGTCATCTTACACAGCAGGGTCGGCCGCTCCGTCACTGATGTCTACCTGCTGAACCTGGCCATGGCCGACCTACTCTTTGCCCTGACCTTGCCCATCTGGGCCGCCTCCAAGGTGAATGGCTGGATTTTTGGCACACTCCTATGCAAGGTGGTCTCACTTCTGAAGGAAGTCAACTTCTACAGTGGCATCCTGCTACTGGCCTGCATCAGTGTGGACCGTTACCTGGCCATTGTCCATGCCACACGCACACTGATCCAGAAGCGTCACTCAGTCAAATTTGTTTGTCTCAGCTGCTGGGGACTGTCTGTGATTCTGTCCCTGCCCTTCTTCCTTTTCCGCCAGGCTTATCATCCAGACAACTCCAGTCCAGTTTGCTATGAGGTCCTGGGAAATAACACAGCAAAATGGCGGATGGTGTTGCGGATCCTGCCTCACACCTTTGGCTTCATCTTGCCGCTGCTGATCATGCTGTTCTGCTATGGATTCACCCTGCATACGCTGTTTAAGGCCCACATAGGGCAGAAGCACCGGGCCATGAAGGTCATCTTTGCTGTCGTCCTCATCTTCCTGCTCTGCTGGCTGCCCTACAACTTGGTCCTGCTTGCAGACACCCTCATGAGGACCCACCTGATCAAGGAGAGCTGTGAGCGCCGCAGTGACATTGGCCGGGCCCTGGATGCCACCGAGATTCTGGGATTTCTCCATAGTTGCCTCAACCCCATCATCTACGCCTTCATCGGTCAAAATTTTCGCCATGGATTCCTCAAGATCCTGGCCACACATGGCCTGGTCAGCAAGGAATTCTTGGCACGTCATCATGTTACCTCCTACACTTCTTCCTCTGTCAATGTCTCTTCCAACCTCTGAAAACCATCGATGAAGGAATATCTCTTCTCATAAGGAAAGAATAACCAACACTCTGAGGTTGTGTGTGGAAGGTGGTCTGGCTCTGGACAGGCACTATCTGGGTTTTGGGGGGACGCTATAGGGTGTGGGGAAGTTAGGAACTGTTGTCTTCAGGGACCATACCCACCTTCTGAGGAGCTGCTGAGGTACCTCCAAGGACCAGCCTTTGCGGCTCCATGGAAAGGAAGCACCATCATTCCTGTTGAACGTCACATCTTTAACCCCTAACTGGCTAATTAGCATAGTCACATCTGAGCCCCGAATCTGACATTAGATGAAAGACTAGGGCTGAAGCTATGTCCTCATAAGGGTTGGATGCTCTCGTTGACCCTCTCAGGAGCATCTCTTCAACTCTGAGTGTTAAGTTTTGAGTCCCCAGGCTGGTGGCTCTGTGTGCTGTGATCTGAGCTCCGGGAGTGGTCAGAGCTTAGGTTTGTTACAGTGTCGGCTGGAGACATTGAGGCAGGCACTGCCAAAACATCAACCCACCAGGTGGCTTTGTGAGGAGCTGGAAACACATGTTCCCCTTGGGGGTGTTGGGTGAACAAAGAGGAAGAGGGTTTGGATGCCAGATCCATGCCACAAGAACCCCCTTTACCCCCATGCCCAACATTGCACACACATGTGCTGGCCACCTGCTGAGCCCCAGGTGGACCGAGACAAGCAGCCCTTAGCCCTTCCCTCCTGCAGCTTCCAGGCTGGCACGGAGCATCAGCATCCCCAGAAAGCCATGCACAGCCACCAGTCCACTGGGCAGGCAGATGTTCCTAATAAAGTGTCTGTTCCATGCTTGTCCCTGTGGAAGTATCTTGGGTGTGACAGAGTCAAGGGTGTGTGCGGCATTGTTGACTGTTCCTGCAGTAGAATGGGGGCAGCACCTCCTAAGAAGGCACTTCTCTGGGTTGAAAGGCAACATTCCCTGGGGCTTTAACTCCTGCTAGAACAGTCTCTTGAGGCACAGAAACTCCTGTTCATGCCCATACTCCAGGCGGAGGAGGATCCCTTCGTCCACAAGTAAAAGGAAATGCTCCTCCAGGGAGTCTCAGCTTCACCCTGAGGTGAGCATCATCTTCTGGGTTAGGCCTTGCCTGGCCTCCTCAAACTATGTGAGCTTGCCTCTCCCTCCCAAAATGCTTTCCGTGAGTTGCAGTTTTTTCCTAGTCTGTTTTCCCTCCTTGGAGACAGGGTCCTGTCAGTTTATTCACTCTATGTCCTTGGTGCCTGGAGCCTGTTAAATGCTCAATAAATAATGATCACAGGAATGAACGCATGTTGAAAAGACCACAGCTCATTTTTTTTTTTTTTTTTTGAGACGGAGTCTCGCTCTGTCGCCCAAGCTGGAGCGCAGTGGCACTATCTTGGCTCACTGCAAGCTCCGCCTCCCGGGTTCACACCATTCTCCTGCCTCAGCCTCCCGAGTAGCTGGGACTACAGGTGCCCACCAACATGCCCGGCTAATTTTTAGTAGAGATGGGGTTTCACCGTGTTAGCCAGAATGGTCTCGATCTCCTGACCTCATGATCCACCCGCCTCGGCCTCCCAAAGTGCTGGGATTACAGGTGCGAGCCACTGCTCCCAGCCAACCACAGCTCATTTGCACACCATCTGCTCAAAGCTCCTCTTGTCTGTCCTCTCCCCTTTCAGCCTCCCGCTGTCCACTTATTAAGTTTGCCTTTGTGGTTTAGCTTCATTAGATATTTATCTGTGTAAAGATGTCCCAAGTGAGGGCTGACGATGTCAGGGCTCTTCTGATAGCAAATGATAGAAACAGAAGTCAAACTAGCTTAAGCAAAACTGAGAGTGTGTGGGTTTAGCATGTGTGGGGAAGGATCAGGGATGGCTTGAGGTTGGGAATAGGGTGAGGCTCAGAGATAGGACCTAGATCAAGCTTGAGATGGGGATCAGCGATTGATGTTGAAATCAAAGATGGGGTGGAGGCAGGGATGGGGTGGCAGCTTGGGAGGAGGTCAGAGAAGGATGAATGCCAGGAATCGGGAGAGATCTACAAGGAGGGAGAGTAAGAGTCAGGGTCGCAGTGAGGTGTTGGGAACAGGGAGATTCAACATGGAGCTGGGACCAGATACAGTGTGAGGCTTTGGAATGGGATAAGTGTGGGGGAGTGGTGAGGCTCAGGGAGGGGATGTCAGGCCTAGAATGAATGTCAGGGAAGGCTTAGTAGCTACGAGGCTGGAGCAGAAGACGTGCCTGGTAGGGTCATCACCCCATATGGAGTATTATCTAAGATGCTCTTCCAGGGGCCAGGACTGAGGCTCCTCAGTCTGTCTTGCTTAAGGCTCTCCAGGCAGGTGAGTGAGGAGTGAGTTAGGCACTCGAGCCCTAAGAAATAGACCTGATTCAGCAGAGAAGACAAGAGGGATGCAGATGATGCAGAGAGAATCTAGGGCAGAAGGCTGAGAACTGGGACCTCCTTTTCCTCTCTTCCTTCCTCTAATCCCCCTCCACCTCTCCTACTGTTTCCTCAAAGTCCAACTTCCTCCTTCTTCACCTATGCCCCTGCCAGGATGATTCCATCAGGGGCTTCCATGTTGGGTCCAGGGGAAATGCAAATTACTCATAACAGCATGAAAAATGCTCAGCCTCACTAGGAACTTGGGAAATGAGGCTCAAACAGCAACAAAACAACTCAGAAGTGCTTTATACAGGGGAAGGATATAGTGGACTCTTCAAACAAGTGCAACATTTTTTGATTAGATTTTTTTTTTTTTTTAATGAGACAGAGTCTTGCTCTGTCACCCAGGCTGGAGTGCAGTGGTGCAGACACAGCTCACTGTAGCCTCAACCTTCTGAGTTCAGGTAATCCTCCCAACTCAGCTTCCAGAGTAGCTTGGACCAGAGCTGTGTGCCATCATGCCCAGCTAATTTTTAAAATTTTTTGTAGATATGGGGTCTTGCCACGTTGCCCAGGCTGGCCTTCGACCCCTGAGCTCAAGTGATCTGCCTGCTTCGGCCTCTTAAAGTGCTGGGATTACAGGTGTGAGCCACTGCACCTAGGTTGATTGGAAATTTTAATGCAGCCTGTACTTTTCTGGGTATAGCTCAAGACACAAATGATTTGGATTTCAGATTTTTAAAAAATGTCAGGATTTTGGTACTTAGTTAACAGCATATTGAAGTATCAAAAACTGATATTTCAATTACTAGATAGGGTGAGGATTAGATCTGGTCAGAGGCAGGGAGAGTGTTTGCCTTAAGGAGGGACTCACTTGTCTAGGATAGGGCTGGGACTAGGGATGGGGTGAATCTTAGGACAGGAGTGGGGGTCAGAAATGGGAGGGGTCAGTGATGAGATTGGGATTATGGAGCAGATGCATATCAGGGTAAGGTGAGGGACGGGGATTAGGAGGTAACAGCATGTTCTGCACAATGCTTCCCGATGTTAAAATTCTAAAATTTGTTTTGTAGCCTTGGTGACAACATTTGAGACTCTAAATCAAATGTCAAAATCTACTGTTTTCCCCTAAACCAGTTCTCCTTCTGACCTACCACAGCCTCTCACCACCCCTTGCCCTCCATCCCCTGGCCCATTCTTGTTAATTCTAGCAAAAATACTAATTGATAATCCACATTTTATGCCATAGAGGTAAAATTTGCCCCTTTCTCAGCAAAGTAGTATTTCAATAAGAGTCTTTCAGAGACTGAAAAATCTCAAACATGCAAATGAAGTAAAATGACAGTCTCCTCTTTGGTCTGAGGATTGTCCCAAAGATGCGCCTTCCTAGAGAAGACCACTCACCAAGAGACAGTGGTGGAGCCCAGTCTTTTGTTGTTTCTGTGCAGAGGTCAGAGAGGCCACTCTGGGTTCCACCCAGAAAGCCCTAAGGAGCTAACAGTGGAGCTCTCAGCACCAATGTTTTCTTCCAGCTTGGTATTCAGTTTTTAAATCCAAAGTCTTCCTTCCAATCTTCAGAGTAGAAATGAATCAAAGACATAATAAAATAAAAAATAATGGAAATATGTTAACTCGACTTTTTAAGATTAAATTTTCTTTTTATTGTCTAAGTATTTCATACACATTGTTGAAAAAATGAAATGGCTTTATGAAGCTTATAACAAAAAACCAGCAGTCTTCCAGCTCCAATCCCTGCAGACAAGGGCAGCAGCTGTCAGCTCTCCTAGCTGTTTCATCTGATAGTGATCTATATATTTCTAAATATCGTACTTGTTCTGCTAGTTTTTTCTTTTTTTCCTTTTTTTTTTTTTTTTTTTTCACTCGCTCTCCCAGGCTGGCTGGAGTGCAGTGGCGTGATCTTGGCTCACTGCAACCTCCACCTCTCTGGTTCAAGTCATTCTCCCACCCCAGCCTCCTGAGTAGCTGGGACTATAGG